ATATCATTGCTCAACAATGTTCGATAGTCAAATGATCAATTATAGAGTGTATTTAATAGAATGAGAATTTGACTTTAATTGTTGAACGAAATGAATGAGAAATTAGCAGAAGAGAACACTTTTGGTGATAAAAGCTATGAGAGCGATTACAGCTGCAAGGAAGAGAATGAAAACCTTATTCAAAGAAATGAAAACCATGTTAGACCCGGACGAGCTGATGATACTCAAGAGAGAATGAAGAGTGTTGCCACCAACTAACTTCATTTACATATGCGAGGTAAAAAAAAGCGTCATCACAATGGCGTTCTAACATAAATACTAATTTCCGGATCTCCTCCATTACCCGTTGACACCTCCAAATTACCAAAATGGGTAATTTCACCTCCTTTGAGAGCCACTGTACAGTCGATTATCATAAACTGTTCATACCCTTTTATCCAGCAATAGCAAAAATAATGACTAATTATATAAAAATTCTAAATGAATCATGAAACTAAGAGTTATATACTCCAACAAGCAAAAAAAGAAACTTACGTCATCCATCTAAACAGCAATATTCTAATTGGTCAGTAAACATGAATTGTGAATAATGGAGTATAGTTCTTGAATACGATATAATTACCTGCATTATGTGGACATATTTGCATTTGAATAATAATTTGAATTATTCATTTAAAGATATTCAAAATAAAACGTCAAAGCGACTAAGAGCTTCAATTTCTCCGTCATTTTTGTATTTGATACACTTTGAAACTGGTCATTTGGTGATCAGTTCAAAGCGGTTTGTTTTGCTGTTCAGTTCGGACATTAATTGCGGTAACCGTTTAAGGTAATTGTTTCATTCCGCTGACAGTTGTTGCCCGACGAAAAGTGGCACGAACGAAAGAAAGCAACGAATTAACGTTGAATATTTTCTCGTTTTTCACTTCCACTAATCTATCTTAAAGCAATAGCGGCAATGGAATGACGTTTAATTTAGCCGTACGTACTCAAAGATAACATAGAATTTGTTCGATTTAATCTATTCTATGAAAGCAATGTTCACAACTCAAGCAATTAGTGGAAGATGAGTGCCTTCTCAATATTTGGATTTGATGCATTCAATGCCGTCTCAGTTAGTAATGGTTTATTCGTACCAGATATGTTGCAGCAAATAACATGGGCAATGCAAACACAATCCAAAAAAAGATAAGAACTGTCTTCTCATCGAATGCAAATCTCAGAGCACAATCAACTCCAACTCGACAACCTCCTAACCATATCACCATTTCGCAATCCACCCGGTCTAACAATGTAATAATCCCATCAACAAGTGCCCCAACTAGCAAACCTCCTACTGCAGCCTCGCAAAACGCGCGGAAACATTCCAATGGATCACCAATCACCAAACACTCTCAACCAGTAGTCCATCAAGAAATGCAAAGAAAACGACGAATACTATTCGGAAAATTCACCCAATCGGTTAACGACGTTGTTCACGAGTTTCAGTTATCAATAGTGTCCTAAAATTCCTTCCAAAACGCTTATTCAATAGTTTGTTCACTCGAAAATGCTAAGCTTTCATTGAATTCAGTGCTTTTTGATTCGGGCACTACATTTTTTTTTCAAAATATTGCTACTGAATATTAAATTGAAATGCTTCAAAGACTAAAAAGTAGCCATATAAAGTCACAAAGTACAAAGTTTTGAAAAACGTTCAAGACAGGTAACTTCACGTTACCTGTACAATACAGGTAAATTCACTGAGTTCAGTGAGTATATCGAAAATTGCAGAAGGAAAACTCATCCAGTGACCTGATAACAGCCCGGGAGAAAGAACATAAAACTTATTCGAAAACTTTAAAGGAGATTTTGTTTCACAAAAAGGTGACGGCAATATTTGCGTTCAATTCACACGATCAGAAACTGCCTCCTGATCTCATATCCCAGATGATTCAATTATTATTAATTCTTGGAAAGAATACGAAAACAAAAATCGAGTCTTCAAAAGGAAATCGAAATTTTAGTGAAGGAGGATAACTGAAGATTGACTTCGTGCTACTATTGAGAGCAGTTGTTTGCCAAAGAATTACTTGAAAGAAGTGTTTAGATGATTCAAGCAGACGAAATACGAACAGCAGTGGAAAAGATACCACTTCCAAAAAAGCTGAAACGTAGCTTATTCTCCCATGGAAAAGTCAGTGCATAGCATTCTCATTCACACAGCACATCCCTATCGTCCACGAACGATTGGAATTCACTGAGTTAGAGCAGATTCGTTGATATGATTCTTTGCCGATGACTGGTGCACATCAGAAGATTTAGTAAAAGAGCCTTGAAAAACAATCAGTCCAATAAGAGTTCAATCTTGCAGACTGCTGAAGCAGATGAAGCGATCACGGCTAGAGAGCTTGCCGTCATTCCAAAGAAAGCATCCACGGTGCAAAGAGGTCGCAGAAAGGTCATCATGAAAGAACATTTTGATCCATTACTCCACCAACATGAGCCTTAGCTCGTGTTTCGAATGAATTCTTTCGAAGCGAAGCAAAACTTCAA